AAACAGACAAATCGTATCTTACTGACCCAGAAACAGTCAAGGCGGATCCAGCTGTTCAACAAATAATCGAGTCCGATATCATTGATAGCAATTTCAGCAACGATTCCGACGACTCTGGAAATGAATCACAACAACAACAGCATGTGCCTATAATTCAGGACTTAGGTCCAGAGGATCAGGTCCAGAGACTAAACTATCATGTTGAGGAGCCAGGCGACGGTGAGGAATGTATATATTTGATGTTCCGCAAGTGGTGGTTCACACCAGGGGCGGGCAACCGACGGCCCGCGGGACACAATCCGGTACACCCGTAGTATGTGTACCAGGTTAGGGTTAGGCCATAATTTCATTCCGATTTTTCTTATTTTAGTTCTACGACGAAGTCGGGGACTGTCTGTGTTATCCAAGTGAATATACCCCCTGCCTATAGGCTTCCGTCCCTTTACACAACTTGATGTGGTTCACGTAACCGCTGGTCGGTTACAGCTTCCTCCACCATCAAGTCCATGCTTCCGAAAACAAATAACTGGTTCATTCCATACCCGACCTGAACAAGAGGACGTGGTTCGCCATATGATTAAGCCGTCTTATCGGCTTTCCTCTCCCCCGGGATAAATATGTAAATCCTTCCTTCCTATGTAAAGTAGGCGAACAAAATTAGTTACCTTCATATTGATACACATACTTCTGGAGCGCCCACAATCCGCCCCACCAAGTCATCTAGTGTGGCCCATGTCAACACTCAGACTTTTCCCCTTCAAGCGCCGTATATTTCTCCATCTAAGTAAATATGACAAAATTGCCTTGGTGACACCACTTTATATATAAACACTCTTAATGTTTTTTTTATCTACAATCCAATTTAACTAATCGATGCACAGTATTTTATTTCTATAATTGTTCATAAAATATTTTATAAACGACTAAATGAAAGTATATCACAGAAACGCTTCTTCTTGATACTGAATTGTTTGTTATAATATAAATTCTAATTTGTAAGTTGTTAATCTTGCTAAAGAGAGAGTTAGGTATCCATTCGCCATTTCAATGGTCTTAACTAGAACTAGTCTTGACTAGTGGCGCACAACCTAAACATAGTATGTGTACCAGGTTAGGGTTCAGGTTGTGCGCCATCTTGGTGCACATATTTCGGGAGCGCCCAAAAAAGTTCCCAAACCAAATGGTCGGCTAATAAGCGCATAACTCTGATCGCGGTCAAGCAGTAATTCCAAACCTGTTATACGTAGGCTTACCATACGTCCCGCTTTGGGAGGGACAGTCCCGCTTTTTAGCGTCTTGTCCCGTCGTCCCGATAAGTCAGCCAAATATCCCGCTTTCGCGTTCAGCCATCCAGCATAATACACGATCATTTTCTCGTTACTGTTGTTGCTGTGTAGCGCAACGCTAGCGTACTTCATGAAGGTGAATGCGGTATTTTGTTTGTTCCATTGTTTCCCGCTAACAGGGTTAGCGAACTTATCACATTTAAAATCAATTATATTATAGGTATCCTGTTCGGACGTTCGCGTGAATGTAACATTAAACAACGTTTTTTGAAGGTGCTATCTACAGAAAAGCATGCTTGGGCGAATAAGTGAATTCTCAATGTTCGAAAACGACACACTATTTCATTATTCTTTATTCCTTTTGCTGTGCATAAAAAAATCTAAACTCGGATCATTTGTATCGTTACGTCTATTCCTTTCTATTTTTCGAACTGAACCCGATATTTAGACAGAGAATATGCGCATGAACTCTCGATGACGAATATGATCAATGAAGACAGTCGGGATGGCTTAAATGTAGACCTATATAGTAAAATTGGAAACTGTGAAGTTACAGGGGGCGTCCCGCTTTGAAGTCAAAAAAATATGTTAAAAAACAAACTATAGCTTACTCAATAAGTAGATCTAAGGAAAAGGCAGCAGAAGAGCGTGCGATACGATTAGATATGGATAATATCTTGCATAAGGGGCAAAGTGGGAGCTTACAACTATTGGAAAAGTTAAAGATCAAATTAAAAACGTTAATAGGGGATAAAAACAAATATGCTGCAATCCAAGGTAGAAGACATGAAAGAGGGCGAAGAACCTACAAAATACTTTCACGATAAAATCAAAACACGGGCCAAACGCATCACGATAGAGAGTCTGCAAACCTCGAGCCGCGACATATTAACAACAGAGGATGAGATCACGGAAGAGATTAACGAGTTCCATTGCGACTCATGGGGACAAAAATGTAAAACGCACCAGAGCAAACAACGACACTATCTCGACCTGATGACCAAAACTCTAATCAGCCATGAGCAAAATGGATGGATAGAACTACATGGATAGAACATGTAGATGGATAGAACTACAACGGAGGACGAAATATACATTATTATCAAAGGAATGAAAAACAACAAATCACCTGGCCCGGATGGACTCAGCAAAGAATTCCATGTAACATTCTGGAAAATAATTAAAGAAAGGCTAACCCAAATGATTAACAACATACTCTGTTTTGGCACACTACCCAAAAGTTCAAACTACGATAAAGTAAAGTTAGTGTACAAGAAAGGTGGAAAAAACTTGCTCAAAAATTGGCGCCTAATATCTAACTTAAATTTTGATTATAAGATAGTTGCATGACTTCTAACAAAAAGACTAGAACACCCTTTAAATACAATTATTAGCCACTCTTCCAGATAAAAACATGATTGAAGCTCACTACAATTTAGAATCAATTGCTATTGCGAAAATAACCAAATACCAGGTTTTCTGGTAATGACAGACAACTTGAAAGCTTTTGACCGAGTGGACCACAACTTTCTGTTTAACATACTCCCAAGAAATTAATCTCAGTCCAAACATCATAAGAAATGTATGAAAATATATATATTCTCATCGACATAAACGGCAAAATTAGCGAACCAATTAGAATTAATAGAGGAATTCGTCAAGGATGCCCACTAAGTATGCTGTTGTATACCATTTACGCGGAATCCCTAATTAGATCTGTGCAATACAACATCCACATACAAGGAATTAGACTTGGGAAATACCACCATAAGCAAGACCAATTCGCAGACGACGCCACATTTACAGTTAGAAACTTGAGCTCAATTCAGAACATATTCGACGAACTCCAAAATTATGAAAAAGCAACAGGGCAAAAAACTAATGTTGAAAAACCTAAAATACATTGCCTTACAAACAAAGCAAAAAAACTGCTATTAAAATACCCTTACAAAGCATACCTTGAGGAAATAGTTAAAATCTTAGGAAATATATTATGGCCAGGGTCGAGATACTAAAACATGGGATGAAGTATATCTCAATACAGTAAGATCATTCAATTATTCAAAGACCCGAAACCTTACCTGGTATGGGAAAATAATCGTCATAAACTCAAATAATCATGTCTGTAGTCATTTTCCATGCCAGAACTATTGAGATACCACCAGTATATGTGAAAAAAATCCAATAACAACAAATATCCTTGTTTATATGGTATCCAGAAAAACTAGAGGCTATGAAGAGAGCTACCCTCCAACTGCTGTGAAAAAGCGGGGGCAAAAACATGCCTAAACTGAGCATTAAAATCAATACATGCATAGCAGAGAGATTCAAACAATTTAAGAGCATTGCGGTCCCAACCCAATTCTGGCACCAAAAAGCAATATATTCTTTGAGATCCAAAATGAAAACAATCAATCAAAAATTGTACATCAATTCGACACCACATCTCCAATTTATACCAAAAATATGGAAAAATTATTTGGAACCACTAAAAAATCAACTACACTAAACAACAATGGATCGATGCAAAACATAGGAACCTATACAATATATTATTAAAGAATCTGGGAAATGAACCACCACCACTGCCGGCAGAAACCAACTGGAAAGAGGCCCACGCTAAACAGGGAGCATTGCAGTATAAAGCAATTTGTTCTCTATTTAACCTAGTACATTATCGACAACATTTGTAGAAGTTGAAGATAGCTTTCCAATGATACGATTAGATTGAAATTATGTTGCTCCATTCACATTTTAGAAGCATTTTTATTCGTGATTTTTTTTGTCGCAACATCGAGACTACGTCAAGGTGACGTAAATAACGACCTAACACATTAACGCCGTTGCGCAGCGACGTTAGGCAATTACTTCGTCTCGTATCACGTTTACGTTCCATACGAAAAACACTTTCCCGCAAGCTCGTAACGTCATTAACGTAAGTTCGTACTCGTGAAGCGACCAACGACTTGTAAACGATACGCGGGGAATTTACGCATTAGATCCATCCTCAAAAACTGTTCGACTAAAACACACAATATACAGTGTTATTGCTGTTTAATTGCATAAAAATATGAAAAATAGGAATAGCAAAAATACGGATTTTTAAAAATCCAAATATTCAACTGGAGTCGAGTCAGCGTTTATTGATTTTGATAAGTTTTTCGGTTTAGGGATGTTTGTTGGAGAAAACGGTCTATCAGTAAATTCGGAAGTATCATTCGTCCAATCGACTGTTTGAAAGACCCGTGCGGGTTCAATGCTTCCGAATGACATGTGTGCATAGGCCCTTGCTGGCATATTATTGGCCGTTCATAAGACCTCACGTTCACAGACGTTAACGTAAAAGCATCATCTTCCATCAGATCGCCATGAGCATCGTTTTAGGTAGTCATTGCATCAGTCATTACCATATTTCTTATACCCTGCAGCCTGATTCAGACTTCTATATATCGAAACTGGGAGACCGTTCGAGGTATCTAGTAAATTACGCACAAGTTACGCACGTATATTTGTAAAGCATGCACATTATGTTGGCGAGTAGTTGTTTTCTTATCATTAATGACCGCCTCCTCATGCAAATCTAATGTGCGCTACAGTTCGTGCCTGATGAGTAATAATAGCATATTCAACCTGAATCAGGAATCGTTAGGTTTTAGACTTCGAGAAACACTGACATGTTAGATAGAATGCGTCACGTTTTAACGCATTTATATTCAGGAACGAGGCTTCCGCATCACAGACGTAAGTTGTACGTGAGACTGAAGTTCAGTATGATGCTTAAAGTTATTCTGTTGTTGGCGACTTTCTTATCTGTGGCTCATGCATGTAAGTACTGATACTATGTTTCCCCAAAATAAGTCAGGGTCTGATTTCAATTTTCTTTTGAAAAATAACACTAGGGCTTATTTTTGGAGGATGTCTTTGTTTTCATTTATCAAAAACAAAATTATAAAGTAGAGAATTACGATATTTTTAAATATACATAATACGAAAACCGATATTCATTTACCTCTAAATAACACGTATTCATTTAAAAAAAATTGCTATCTACTAGGTCTTATTTTATATTGAAATCATTTTTAAAATTCAGGCTTGGTCTTATTTAAAAGCTAGGTCTTATTTAAAAAAAAACACGGTAATTGTTGTTACTTTCTTTCTTTGTCATCCGGACAATAGAGTCAAAATTTGTTCTTCCCAACACCGAATCAGATCCACGACTTCGAATTGCCAAATTATTAGTCCTTATACATTCACATTGATTTTTTCAGCCACCGACTGCAGCTTAATTTCAGTAATAATTTAAAAATTTTGAATACACACTGCTGGTATACTATCTTCGAGTGTTCCCAATTTGACTTCGATCTTAAGTGAAGTAGCACTAAGTCACGCAACGAGTTTACCATAAATTTAAAACTAAACTCATGTATTACTTTCAGATTGCTCGCTTAGCTTTTATGCTAACAACCGAAGAGGCTCAAATGTCTTCACATTCGACGAGGGTCATAATGCCACAATCACTATGAGGTGTTACGGTAGCTCATCGAGTAGAGAAAAATATTATGTTTACTGGGCGTCGAACAACGTAAAATATATCGACTATGGTGTCAGAGTATACCGCCTTTACTGGGAAGCATACAGATTTTATCACCTATCTAAATACTACAACGTAGTAGATGGTGTAAAAATCACCGGCTCAGGCGAATACACATCCACGGCAATCATTCAATTCGATTTCGACAGTATGAACACGACCTTTAACGGAAGCCGTATCGGGTTGGTAGATGCGTATCATGGTTATCGGGTATTGGGAAGCCAAGAAATCATTGTTACATGTAAGTAATACTAAATATTATTATTCAATTATTGAAAAGTGGACCGACGGAACGTTGGCTGTTGTTGTTCTGAAAAATCGTTTTTAGGTTTTCAGTACTCAAAAGGTGAAAAAGTCGCTAATATTCAAATATGAGTCCTACGTGCCCCACTATTTGACGCCTTATTTTTGCTGGTTTTCATACTCCACGGCAACATCTTTATATGATATTCGTATAAATCTTTTATATTGCTGTGTTAGTCATTTGGTTTTCATGTTGAATTGCTTCTAAATATTAGTTTTTGTAAAACATATTGCATATATGTACCCAATGACCTATCGTGCAGATCATTGAATGCCTATGACCTTGTTGTCAGCGACGATGCTAATCCTAATAAAAATGTTCATTTTGTGTGGCTGAATTAATTATTTAACAGGTTGCAAGACGTCGGAGTTACCTTCATCTATGGCACCTGTTGGCACACACGACAATACAGCATGTATGGCCGATGTTCAAGTGAATTGCACATCAGGAAGTTTATTCAGAAATAGTCTAACTTATCTCCCATCCGTAACATTAACATGCAGTTCTTCTAGCAAGTGGGAGAATACCTCTAACATGCAATGTTTACCAAGTAAGTGTGACTCAAAGCGATGTGGGAACTATAGATTAATCGTTAATGCCTATTTTGAAATAACATGATCTCTTTCTGCTATATAGCAATTAAATTTGTTAGATTTCGTTAGATCATAGATGATCATATTTGTGGGGTCAAGTTACTGTAAAAAGTGACTTTATTGAGGTTTTTGAATTCCTTTATGCAACTCAAATTCGAGTTGAAATTCGGTATTACAAAATTAACGCACAGATTTTATATTTTTTCACGTTTTTAATAATGTCATTGTATTCTATCTTTTTGTGATAGAATACATTATAGTGTAATAAATTAGCGAATATATGATAAAGTAACTATCAGTAGAGGTTGTGCGAGACTAACTCTCAATCCTTTCTCAATTCTCTCCCAATCCTTTTTAAAGTGTTTTAAACTTTTCCAACGGTATTGACGGCTTTAATCAAAATAGGTTACACCCGATATTCGTTACTTGTTCTGCAGATGAATAAATTTGAACAAATAAATTCCACGCGCACAAATACATGGTGACTTTGCATAACATTCCAAATGCAAATTTCTGCTCTGGTGATCACATTCCCCATAAGAGCTAATGTTAAAAAAAAATATTTTTACATCACTTTTCTTTTTGCGCGTAGGATAGGTTTTTGATGAATAAGGTCTATTACTCACGCAAAACAAAATAATCCCACGCGCATAAATTTGCATGACATTCTAATTACTGACGTACTGACGGAAAACAATATTGGAACATTACTTCAATGCGTAGGTTATACCATGAGTAATAATTCTTGGAAACAATTTCAGCGCGCATTCGAATAGTCCTAATTAAACATCTTAATGACTGTGGTGTATGATTCACAATGATAGCTTTTACGTATTTCTAGGGTACGTATGCCAATGCTATGGCCATTAACGCCAGACACTGGTGCGTTGGAATCATAATCTGCGTTTTCCCGATATAGAAATGGACAGTTGGGTTTTAACTGATCTCCGAATGCCCCTTGGCGATGACCGAGTCACGTGACTATGCTTCACCGCTCAACTAAACGTGTCTATAACGGTACAGTATGGAACTCTTGGATGTTGCGCGAAAACGTTTATCGCGAATTCGCACATAAGATTCATTTCGTTGAGGATACGAACATTGTATACATTTCTGAGACAATCGCTTCATGATGTTAAAAAGCAATTATATTGCGCGAATGGCCTAGTTGCTAAAAAGTTAGACCAAACTATGATAATCCCACACGCATAAAACCATGGCTACTTTGCATAATACTACTAATTACTAACACAAAACAATATGTAGGTTACCATGACTAAGATATAATACCATGACATGACGAGATATAATTGCGAGGGTAAAGATCACAGTAATTGTAGGGTCAAGTTACTGTAACAAGTGACCTAATTTAAGTTTTTAGTGTTTTATTCGCCGTATAATACGGACCATAAGTTGCACTTCAAATTCCTTCCTTGTCAAAAAACGACTGTGTGTCGTTATAAGCTGGTGCTTCTAATGTATAGATGATCAAGAAATGTATTGTGCTTTTTTTTAACATTCAAAGCCAGTACCGGTTACGTCTTATTGCCATGTTCGCCCGTCGTATGAACAAACCGTAATCCTGGCAATTTATTGACGGTGCGCCTAATAATGCCTTATGACGCACAATTCAATACTTCAGCATTTTATTAATGTTTTTTTCGTATTCCATCTTTTGTATAAAGGGCAATAAATTAGCCCAGATATTTAATTAAAAGAGTTTCAAACTGTGTTAAAGGTTTTGGCGGTTTTCGTGATTTTCCAATTTTTTGTATGTTCGTTGACAGAATTTTCGAGGGAAATCAAAATATTTCCCATCTCAGTATTGTTCCAGATTTCAAATTTGAAAAAAAAAACACGCGCACAAGTACATTGCGACTTTGCATAACGTTCCAATAACTGTCGCAAGCAAAACAATATTGGAACATCATTACTCTAATGCGTAGGTTACCATGAATAATATTTCAATTACTAACACAAAACAATACGTAGGTTTCCATGAGTAATCATCCTTGGTAACGAATTTCAGCGCACATTCGAATGAACCCTGACAATAACCGAGTCACGTCACTATACTTCACCGCCTAATTAAACATCTTTATTACGGTACAGTATGGAACACTTGGATGTTGCGCAAAAACGTTTTACGCGAATCCGCATAAATGGATACTTTCGTTGATGACACGAACATTGTATACATTCCTAAGACATCCGTTTCATGATGTTAAAAAGCAATTATTTTGCGTGAATTTGACCTAGTTGCTAACAAGTTAGGCCACATCATGATAATCCCACCCGCATAAACCCACGGCTACTTGCATAATATTTTAATTACTATCACAAAACAATACGTTGGTTAGCATGAGTAATAATTCTTGGAAAAATGGATTGTAGCGCTCAGTCTAATGGTTCCTGGCAATAACTGGGTCACGTAACTATGCGTCATCGCTCAATTAAACATTAATGGCTGGGGGGCAGGGTTCCCTCTCGGTTGGCAGGTTGAGAAAGTTTGTTGTTGGCCCACCCATTACCCGGTTAGAACGCCAAAATTTCTTCAGAGATCTTTGCACAAATATTAGTCATTTCCAAAAAAGTGCGCACACACCAAAATTTCTGCGCACACATACTACAAAAAATTAGAGGGAGCATTGCTAGGGGGTATGATGAACGAAAGCTTTATACTTATGCCTAATGTCAATCTGCCTGCAAAACACCGATCCGTTTGGAGCTGTACATAGCTCCTTGAGATGGAGGACGGCTCACCTGACTTTGATGAACCTAACACGGTGGGTTTTCAACATTTTTGGCTCATGCGGCTTACTTTCACATTCACAATCAAAACTCGTTACATTAAGAAGAGGAAAATGTGAAGAAAATGAACTTTTCTAATATTAAGTGGCACTTGAACCACTTTGGAAGATAATTTCTGAGAATACTTGTTGCCAGAAACGTTTTTCTTGATCTTGTTCACTAAAACTAACTTTGAAACTAATTTAACTGTGACATTATTGAAAACTTCAATAACCCATTCAATGCCACATGAATAAGTTATTTACAAATAATGCCTAAATAATGATGTGATAATATATATATATGGTGTCCATGAAGTCTTAAAAATGGTATTTATCGATACCATATATTGTTCTGCACTCACAGACGTATTGAATAAGGTAAGAATACTTAAAGCAATCACTGATTAAAAAACAACAAACCCGGTACTGACTTCATAACAAAATTGTAATTCTAGAGAAACTTCATGGACACCCTGTATATATATTTATATATCGTCAGGCTAATAACCGAATTGCGTAAGTCATTTTTGGCGATTTTGAGTTTTTTATAAAATAGGTATTTATGTAATGCTGCGCACCTGTCTGTTAACTCAGATTTCATTTTAAGAATTCCATAACCCATAATAATGGAGATTTAGTATGACATGCACATTTATGCAATTGTTTTGAATTATCATTGTTGCCACAGGACCATTGTGACGTCACAAAGGCAAAATAACTTCGGCGAAGTATTGTCGAGTTTTTGCATCTCAGATTCTAGCTTAGCGCTTATAAATTTGAATTTATCTTACAGTATAGGAAGGCGTGCACAGGCGTGATAATCACTGTCCGAGTCCAATTCACATTGGTTGGCTTTTATATCGGATGCATTGCTGTTTTATTCTTTATATTTAATCTTAGACTTATTTCGGTGGGTGTGCAGAGCGTGTTATATTGATGAAATATATATTGATGAACATAAAAAATAATGTAACTGAAACAAATTAGCTATTTTGGGGATTAGACATCGTAGATACTGAAAATTACATTCGTTTTTGGAATGTTTGGTTTTCAGGACTGGTGCATATAGTCAAGTTGCAAAATTGCGTATGTCCCCAAGGACACATTTCTTTCAAGTCACAGTGCGCCATTATGACGTCACATATCTGCGTCATACAAATTAACTTAAATCCGGCTACGATCAAAAAATTGAACCATGGCAAATTATTGACTCTCAATGACATAACAATACCATTAGGAAGTTTTTTACGTTTTTCTCAAAACTACTAAAAATGACTTACGCAATTCGGTTATAAGCGTGACGATATATTGTATATATACATTAATAGGTTGCCCAGAGCCGATATTAGCACGCCCGCTCTACTTATACGATTACGTCCAACCGATAACACCAGCAGGGACCACATCTCGTACACGATGTCGCAGTGGTCAGATGTACCGAACAACAGACCCGAAATACTTTGTTAGCGGCTGGCCTACTATTGAATGTCAAGCTGATGGTGGGTGGAGCGATCCTGAAGTGTCGTGTTGGACAGGTAAGACTGGATTTATGACTTCTCATTATATTTCTGAGACTCTATCGGGTATATACATTCCAAAAATTATCGACAATAAGCGCATTGATGATTATCTGTCATTTATCAAGCTAAAACCACCAAAAAACTCACTAAAACCTGCAAAAGTCTTTCTATATCTACATTGAGTGTAAGGGAAAGGAAAAGGCGGCAACCTCCGGAGCCCCCAAATGTAACGTCTCTGGGTGGGGAGATATTTGAGATATGTTATTGTGATGTCGAATTATTTAGGTGCAACGCTTTAACCGCCAAACTTTACTATTCCAGGCCTTGTTATGGACTTCACAATAAAGCAAAGGCAATTTATTTCTGGGTATCAAGTCCTACTTTACTGTAAAGCAAATAATGAAGGCAATGGAGTCAAAGTTGAGTTGGGGAAAGAATTCTTTATTGCTGAGAACGTATGTTGAAATTCAAGGATGTATATTCATAAAAAGATTAAATGACTGTAACTTCTTATATTGATATATTTAAAATCCGCAATTGAAATTCTATATCCGATTCCTGTAAAAAAATGACTCCTGTTTTATATCTCGACCGCGGAATCATCCAATATACCAGCTTTAGCGTCTCGCTGCATTTGCAAATGACAATTTCGACTCCGTAAAATATAATAGGCATCCCAAATGCAAATTACCCAAACCTTCCGCCCAACCCGACGACGTGCCTCTTCTATCGCTCCTTTGTCCACTACCTTACCGTTCCTACTGCCGCGCGCTCACAAAATCGAAGAAAACAAGAAGAATTGGTGGTTGGACAATAAGAGCATGGTACGATCAATCACGTCGAACGACTGCTACGATGTTTCCCTGAAAAAAGACAGAGTCTTATTTCAATTTTTTTTCTGAAAAATAACACTAGGGTTGATTTTCGGGAGTTTTCTTATATTTTCATTTATCAAAAACAAAATTAGAAAGTAGAGAATCACGAGATATTTAAACATACAGAATATGAAAACCGATATCCATTTTCTTATAAATAAGATATTTATATTTAAAATAACTGCAAAACATAGACTATTGATTATTAAAACGTGTAGGAGAGATTTCTTGCTATCGACTAGGTCAAAAATAATTTCAGGCTAGGTCTTACTTTCAGGGAGACGCGGTAATTATCTCACTGCGTTATTTAATAGCGTGTGTGACTTTTCCATTTATACACTTGCGACAGCCATGTATTGCAACTCTATAGGGTTCAAATCACATGTCCATGAAATCGAATTGCTTTGTGAATCAAAATTAAGAAAATTTCTATTTCCTAGGTTGTGTTTGAAAACATCACTATGACATCACAACACAATGGTGTCGTTGCTTCGTGTGTAGAACTCGAACGATCTGGCAACGTTATTAAGAAATCAGAAACCAAATTGAACGTTCTCTGTGAGTTTCTAAATTTAATTTTATGGGTGGATTAAGTTGTGGAGCAGTTGATTTCAACTCTTTATGGCTCGTGACACCTGTCGGAGGGTTTTAGCACTCATGCCCCTCTGTTCATAAGTTCAGTGGCTATATAGCTCAAAGCTGCAAACTCCACACCCACGGGGAAATGACTGGCAATAACCGCAAGACGAATAATTACGAATGAATTTTTTTTTATCTGAAAACAAGGTTGAGCCCAAAAACACCACTCATTTGCCGGACTATAAAGCATAAACAAGTTCCTTTCGTCGAACCCTTCACAAAACTTGTATTACATGAACTACAATTCTTCTTTTTAATGCTAAATTCACTTGTTTTAGATTCTCCAGCATTGATTTCCAATAATTTGAATTACGAGTTAGAAACCGGTAACTCTGGAGAAATTGTCATCAAATTCCAGGCAAATCCTGTTATATCACAAGGGAGTATTCATGTCTTCAAGAACGGTAATTTTATGCTCATTCCGTTCATACAGTACATACTTTTTATTTTATGATGGCAATTTAAAACACAATCCGTTTTACCTTCGTTTTTTTATGAAGGATTTTCATATTTCCACTCCGAACTAGGATCTAGACCAGTCATCTTGGATTTCCCGGAATGTATCTGGCTCAGTATCTATTACCAATTCATATCAAACCGAGGCCTGGAATTCGAGACTTTCAATCCACAAGGTGTTAAATCATAAGCGTAGCCACGGGACCTGAGGGGTCATAACCAATTTACACATTTTATCTGGCGGCCCCGGAATGTGTACTAAGATGGCGCACAACCTGAACTCTAACCTGGTACACATACTACGTTCAGGTTGTGCGCCACCTTGTTACACATACTTCGGGAGTTTTTTTTATTTTAATGCAATTTAGCGGCATTTACAGTAAGACATAAATTTATAAGCCCTTTTCAACACCATTTTGCTCTATTTGTGAATGATTTACTGAAAACTGGACGTATCGAATATTTTTTCGAATCAAATTTCGCATACTTGGGAGATGCGTAGTTGTATGTGGTATTGTGATTGATCGTCTTCACACATTATTTCCACTTATCAATAGAAGCTCGGACCCTTTTTTAGCAAATTCGCATATTAGCTGCTTATATTATCAAAATTATTTCTTTACGGCACAGGTACAAGCTTATCCAACTACTATCTGATGGTTGATGGCAATCTCCATTCCGTTGTTCTTCACTTTGTGAAAGTAAGACTCTGTAATATCTAACTGTATCATTCTGTTTTAAGTCGGTGGTTTTCAAATTTTTTGAGCCACGAATTCTTTTTTAGAATTTGTCAATTCTCGCACCCACGTAAAAAGTACTAGCGAACAATAAGCTACAAATAATAGAGAGTAAGACGATTGTATGGAGGGTTTTAGAATTTGTGAACTAACAGTATAAAGTTGAACACTCAAACATGCTCCACGTTAAGGATAATAAAGATACAAGCACAACAGCTCTCTGCAATTTATAAACAATAAAGAAATGTAAATATCCAGAATAAGGCGGGCAAGATCGAAGCTAACAAGTATTTTTATTAGCTTCACGCCTCCTTAAAAAATTCTCAATGTTTGAGAACCCCTGCTTTAAGTGCTAACGCTAATTTTGGTAAGGCTATCAATTTCGACATTACCCTATTTTCAACGAAATAAATTGTTATGCGATGTTTTCGTGTGTGCAATTGCTTTTTACGATCTACGGGAACACTTTTATATGAAATTCAGTAGAATTCTCGTAATATTTCTCATGACTTTCGGTAAATTTCCTTTAACATTTGGCTGAAATTTTGCTAACATGAGGGTGGTCTTATTTATGAGTTGGGTTGCGCGAGATTAACTTCCTATATGCTTTTATGCTAGTGGATAAATATACGGCAAGGATGCTGTAGCAGGAATAAACAGACCATACTATGCAAGTTAAAAGTCATGCTGCGCACTAACACAAATGTATTTGTGTAAAGTTCCCTCTGACCAAAGTTAGATTTCCCAGACAAGCATTTTACTTTCATGCTCATATATATCTGAGCAGTGCTTTCTTTTGAATTCAGGTTGAAGCAGAAGACTTCGGCAATTACAAACTTATCGTACAGACTTCGACTTTTGGTCTGTCGCCGTTGACAGCAAATTTCTCCATCTCTGAGTCTGTTACAACCTCGCCACAAGCTTTCAAAGCAGGAAATATAGCTGCTATAGCACTCTCGGGTGTGCTCACGATCGCGCTCATTACTTTCGTCTTAACCATGGCGTATAAGAAACTTAATGGCGAAGAGAAAAGAAAAACTGTAAACCCGAATGAGACTATGGTCACCTATGAACCAGGTTAGTTAAATACCGCAGAATGAGGACGCGCGGTCGCGCTCGTTACTTTCGCCGTGATCAGAGCGTATAATAAACTAAATGGCAAAGAGAAAAGAGACTGTGGTCACCTATGAACTAGGTAAGTTGTATATGGAATGTAGCGCCTGTTCGCTCTGAACATGGGTCAAAACAAGATGGTGGCCTAGAAAAGCGGTAACCAAAGGGGGGCCGCGGAGATTTGCTAAAAGCGCCGCAAAAATTAACGAAATTGTCTCAGAAATAACCACCTCTGAGCACAGTTACGGACGACCATTGAAATGTCACGAGATAGAGCATAAACAAGTCGCATCGTGACGTTGAATATTCCCAATAGCTAAAGAATGGATTTGTTAAATCAACGTTTACAGAATGAATTCCTATTCCAGAAACACACAACTATGAAGACATCGATGGGAACAGTGGTGAAAATAATCTTGAAAGGTAAACACTACGTTAATACAAATCATCTTATGAAAATGTATCACCAATATGTAATTTTTTTTATTTTCTCATGGGCTTGGCGATGTGTGCTAAACTTGCCACAGCACCGCTAATCACCGTGCGTGGGTTTGTAGGTTCGAATTCCCGTGGATTATGTGCGAGAGGATTGCTGGACTCATCGTCGCCGTAGCGGTGTTCCCGTAACCGCTGATCGGCTTCCTCTACCATCAAGTCCATGCATCTGAAAACAAAATAACTGGCGAACTATTCCCAAACTCCACATGGACTGGTAACCGGACGAGAGGCCATGGTTCATTATATGATTAAGCCGTACTAACGGCTTTCCTCGCCCCCGGGAGAAATATGGAAATTCTAGCCTATCATATCTACGCATTCTGAGGTTTTTCTGATTATTTTGAAGGTTGAAAATTTCGATGAAACAGTTTAAATCATATAGCGAACTACATACAGCCCTTTGTATTTTCATTTTAAGGGGTGCGTTTCCAAATTTTGGGAGCGATAAATATTTTGTTGTTATCGATGAAACTATTTGTAACTCATAAAAGAGTGTTATGTAGATAACTTACCATTTACACTGGCATATAAGCCATTTTCTGACTTATAAACTTACTCAGATTGAACTTTTTGGAAAAAAAAAGTCATAAAATAACAGTATTTATTTTACAGAGCCCACAGCGGTTACGAGAATATGCACATTGGACCGGTCCAACCTAACGCCTATCACATGCAAGATCAGAGAAGCGAACAACGTACTAAACAACTTCCGCTTAAGCCTCCGCCGTATAAAGTTGAAAACCGTTATTCGTGAACCTTTGACATTTGACCTTATGTGCAGGAAGGAAGTCATTTTATGGGAGATGAACTTGGTTGAATAAAAACGTAGATTGTTTTGAAGTTTTTGCAGAGATGTGGTGTCGGAGTCCATTTGTTTTACTTCCGGATTCAAGAGTTGTAACGGGGGTTGATTTTACAAAATAAATCCTCGGGCGTAACTTTTCTTCGACTTGCTTTTTCCTACCAATCGAATTCCAATTTTTCGCTTTGAACTTTTATTTTTGAGGGGGATCTCTCGGTGTTGAAGATGTTACGATAGTTATTTTACTGTATATTTGAACATTGTTGTCTTGTTTTAGTTTATTTAATTTATTTTTATTTAAGCCTATTTATTTCATTTGAAATGCTTTGATAAGTTTAATGTATATTTGTTTCAGTTTAATAAACTTAATTTATTTCAATTTTTTTTATTTATGAACTTGAACATTGCTGTCACTGAACATTGCATTTTTGTTTCAGTTTAATTTATAGTTTAGTTCATTTTTATTTACACTTACTTTTTTCGTTTTGATTGCTTTATTTTGATGGTTTTCTTTCATGTCGCATATTTTGTAGAAAACCCAGGCACAAAACACACGCCTGTCACCGCTGAAACGTGGCGTAATTACTAACGCGTCATTACTTCAAACGTGGGAGTTTTTTTCTCAAATCACACGATCAGTGGCGGGGCTTTCTACAAAAGATCCAAATTTTTTATTATATATTGAATAGAATTTAGCAAAGTTATTCTGTATTGGTGTCTTAATTTGAAAGGGAACTCCGTTCCCTCACTTTATATTAGAATTTGAAATTGCTTGGGCTAGCTAGCAGTGAAAACACTTTATATTTATTTTTATATTACCTTATTAATAAAATAAATTAAGGCAAGTTTGGAAATGTATAATATCCGAAATAAGGCCTGCAAGATCAAATTCAACAAATTCAGTGCGGTGTCACTCCTCAAAGATCTGATGATCCAAATGACTGGCCATCCGGATTGGTATTTGGCTATTTGCGCCAGGGAAATCACTTCAGGCTTGTAGAAGCTGAAGACCGTTCGAGGTATTTAACAAATTACACACTCGTTACAAACGTATATTTGTAAAGCATGCACATTATGTTGGCGAGTAGTTGTTTTCTTATCATTATTGACCGCCTCCTCATGCAAATCTAATGTGCGCTACAGTTCGTGCCTGATGAGTAATAATAACATATTCAACCTGAATCAGGAACTGTTAGGTTTTGGACTTCGAGAAACACTGACATGTTGGATAGAATGCGTCACGTTTTAACGCATTTATATTCAGAGACGAGGCTTCCGCATCCCAGACGTAAATTGTACGTGAGGCTGACGTTCAGTATGTTGCTCAAAGTTATTCTGTTGTTGGCGACATCTTTATCTGTGGCTCACGCATGTAAGTACTGATATATCAGTTATTCTCATTTTTTTTACAATAATCGCCGAGTTAAAGATTTCTCCTATCTGTTACCGGATCCGACTCACGACTCTGGATCGATAAATATCCGACTCTAACTTTCAATTTAAACAATTTTTCGAGCTCTCACTGCAGTTGAGAAATATTTAATAAGTTTTTCATCTACTCTCAACTGAAATTTGATGTCCGACTTGGTACTCCTGAAGTATGCGCACCAAGATGTCGCATAACTTGAACCCTAACCCGGTACACAACCTGAGTTCAGGTTGTGCGCCATCTTGGTTCACATACTTCAGGAGGTCCAACTTATGTGTAGCATTTAAGTGCGTGTATAGTCGCTTGCTACTCTCCTTTTTAATGTGGTGGGTATAGTATTTTACGTATGAATCCTATTAAGACAAAATAAATTTATTGCATGCTTTATTCAGATTGCTCCGTAAGCTTCAAAACTGACAATCAAAGAGGCCGATATGTCTTCTCTTTCAACGAAGGTCAAAATGCTTCTATCTCCGTGAGAGTCAGATGTTATAATTACTATTATGATAGCAAACGGCTCGATGTTTATTGGGCTACAGCCGACATACAAAACATGACAAGTGGTGTAAGAGTATATAGCCTTAACTGGGAGCAATACAGATTTTATAACTTTTCTAAATACTACAACGTAGATGGTGTAAAAGTCACTGGCTCAGGCGAATACACATCTACAGCAATCATCCGGTTCGATTTCGACCGTATGAAAACGACCTTTAACGGAAGCCGTATCGGGTTGACAGATGGCTATAATGGTAATATGGAGTGGGGAAGCAAGGCGATCATTGTTACTTGTAAGTATTAATTGATTACTGAATTATTGAACTAAATGGACCAACGAAACGAAACGCTAATCCTATTAGAAATGTCAAGTTTGTGTGGCTGAATTAATTATTTAACAGGTTGCAAGACATCGGAATTACCTTCGTTCATGGCCCCCTCTGGCACACACGATAATACAGCCTGTATGGCCGATGTTCAAGTGAATTGCACATCAGGAAGTTTATTCAGATATGGTCGAATTTATCTCCCATTCGTAACATTAACATGCAGTTCTTCTAGCAAGTGGGAGAATACCTCTAACGTGCAATGTTTACCAAGTAAGTATGACTCAAAGCGATGCGG